TGTACTACGGAATTGCAAATCTTTACCAAAAAACGCAATGATTTGCGTTACACAACTTTGAAAAATCCCTGACTGTACTAATTCTGGTTAGATCGGACAATTAATCTCATGATCCAGCTACTAGAGATGTGCCTATGTACGAGATGCTGACATCATATTCACATGAATTAATCATATGATCTCGCGCGAAATAAATTTTTAATTTCGCACGAGATATGTATTTCGCACGAAGTCATATGAAATGCTATATTTGTCGCGCGAGAGGCACATCTCTAGGTGTTACTGTATTTTATAGAAATAAAAAATTGATAAGATTGCTATTTAGAGTTAAGAAAAAATAACAACTACCTCTATAGTATATCGAGAAATCAAATAGTTTCTACCTGGTGAATTGTGACAGGTCACACACCGCTGTAACGTAATTTAGGCCGATGATCTTGAAAATGGATGGTTTCATTACTGTACTGTATTAATGGGACTTCGCCAATGACGAGATTACTGGGGTAGAAAAAGAGATTGGTTAATTGTTACATACAACTAGCGAAAATATTAAAATTGCGGCAATTGCGCAGTAACCAAACCGCAGGAAATTATCGGATGCGGGCGCAGTAAATTGAGTACTGATCATGTGAAAATTGTGACGCGCAGTCATATATAAAAATAGTCTTATTATCGTTTATAAAAAGGTCCTCACACATCAAAATTAAAACTTCACAGTTTAAAATAATAATGTTCGGTAGCTCAAATCAAAGCACTTTTGGAAGTGCAGGAACAAGTGGCTTTGGACAGCCAGCCCAAACACCTTCATTATTTGGAGCTAACACACAGACACCTGCTTTTGGTAATACTTGTATTTCTTGAGAAAGAAATAACTTAGATTGTGGACTAATCTTTATTTTTTATCTTATTCTATCTTTTTCTCATTTCTCCTTATTGCTCGATTTAGGCGGCTTTGGAGCAGGAACGTCGACTTCTACAGGTGCGGGTGGTTTTGGAGGCTTTGGCGTTCAAAATCAAACAGCGTCCACTTTTGGGTTCGGAGCCCGTATGTGACTTTTCGTATTCTTGACTCGATCCCTTTGATCGATTTGATTCCTAAATTTGCGTCCAATTATTTTTAATTTTTTATAGCTGCATCTAATCCAACTGCTGGTGGCTTATTTGGACCGCAGACAGTATCCCCTTTCGGTGGAACGGGTAAGTTCTAAATATTTAAGATCTCTTAAAAATGTCCTTAAATTTGATGGTTTTGTCATTATTTTGTCAGAAAATATTTTAATAAATGCCATAAAGAAATTGTAAATTTTTTATTTTAATAAAAATCCGGCCATGATGACAAAATCCCAATTTTTTATGTTATATGATCAAAACTCGGCTTTTCTTATATGGTAAATTTAAATCGACGAAATATACTTAACCATCAAATATGTCTATTATATAATTACTGATGCACTACTTCCTTAATTATAGGGACATCAACCGCGACTCCAAGTCCACCTCCTAATGGCACAGCGAACCCATCTTATACGACAACAAGCGAAAAAGATCCGGCTGGAACGTTGAACGTTTTCCATAGTATCAGTGCAATGCCTGCGTACAGGAACTTCTCTTTTGAGGTATGAATATCTTCAAATTATAATTTATTAGATTTCAGACTTTATTTAAACAATTCACGATCATTAGGAACTTCGATTACAAGATTACCAATTAAATCGAAAATCACTTGCTACTGGATCTAATTTTGGTGGAATTGGTGGAGTAACACCATCCTTTGGGGCTACAAGTACTCCAAGTGCGTTCGGTGCTGCACCTGGCGGGGGGTTTGGTAATGTATCACCTGCTTTTGGTGCTAAATCAACACAGCCCTCTCAGTCATTTGCATTTGGTGGTGGTACAGCGACTCCTGCTGGAGGATTCGGTGCTCAAGTCGGCTCATCACAATTATTTGGCGCACAAAAACCTTTCGGTGCTGCACCAACAGGAGGAGGGTTTGGTACTGCCACGCCAAGCGCTGGTGGTAGTGGATTTGGAGGTGGGATAGGAAGTGGAATAGGTGATTATACGTTATTTTCATGTGCTTTTTTTTATTCAGTTGTATGTTGGTGTTCCTTTTATACTCATAATGTTTTTGATAGGTGGCAATCTTTTCGGAGCAACATCTACGCCGGCTACACCCACGTTTGGAGTAAAAACTACGACTGCAGCGCCCGCATTTGGACAAGGCAATGTTGGTGGAGGATTCGGAAGTTTGACTTCTACAGGCTTTGGATTTGGTAATATATTAATGTTTACATATACATGGTTTTTAATAAATAAAACGAATTAATAAAGAGCTTTGGATATCAATTAGGTGCCAAAACTACTACTGCGCCCAGTGGATTTAATATAGCTCCTACAACGACTCCGGCTTTTGGTGGATTTGGAGGTAAATTAGAAATATTAAGATTTAAAACTAAAAGAGTAATTAATCAAATAATTACAATTTAACTAAAATATCTTAATGTTTTAGCAACGACAACAGCATCTACTAACTTATTTGGTGCTTCTAAACCTACATTTGGTTTTGGTACAAGCGGTAAGCAAGATAATATAATACAAATTTCATAAGAAGAATCTGAGCCTTATAAGTTAAT